GAGTGAGGAGATACCTCATTGTAGTTTTGATTTACATTTCTCTAATAATTAGTGATGTTGTGCATCTTTTCATGTGCCTTTTGGCCATCTGTCATCCTTGGAGAAATGTATATTTAGATCTTCCGCCCATTTTTTAATTGGATTGTTTGTTTTTTTGATATTGAGCTCCATGAGCTGTTTGTATATTTTGGAGATTAATCCTTTGTCCGTTGTTTCATTTGCAAATATTTTCTCCCATTCTGAGGGTTGTCTTTTTGTCTTGTTTGTGGTTTACTTTGCTGTGCAAAAGCTTTTAAGTCCCATTTGTTTATTTTTGTTTTTATTTCCATTACTCTAGGAGGTGGGTCAAAAAAGATCTTGCTGTGGTTTATGTCAAAGAGTGTTTTTCCTATGTTTTCCTCTAAGAGTTTTATAGTGTCTGGTCTTACATTTGGGTCTTTAATCCTTTTGGTGTGAGTTCAGTTTTTTTAGATTCCACATACAGGTGAGGTCATACAGTACTTGTCTGTCTCTGACTTATTTCACTTAACAGAATGCCCTCAAGTCATCCATGTTGTCACAAATGGCAGCATTTCCTTCTTTTTGTGACTGAGTAATATTCCACTGTATATACACCACCTCTTCTTCAGCCATGGACACTTAGGTTGTGTCCCTGTCTTGGCTGTTGTGAATAATGCTGCAATGAACAAAGAAGTCCCTATACATTTTCAACTTAGTGCTTTTACTTTCTTTGGAAAGATACGCAGGAGTGGAATTACTGGGTCATATGATAATTCTGTTTTTTATTTCTTGAGGAACCTCCATACTCTTTTCCATAGTGGCCGCACCAATTTACATTCCCACCAACTGTGCACAAGTGTTCCCTTTTCTCCACACCCTCACCAACACTTACCATCTCCTGTCATTTTGATGATGGCCATCATGGCCATTCTACCAGGTGTGAGGTTTTAATTTGCATTTCTCTGATGATTAATGATGTTGAGCATCTTTTCATGTGTCTGTTGGCCATCTGTATGTCCTCCTTGGAAAAGTGTTCAGATCCTCTGCCCATTTTTTCACAGGATTGTTAGCTGTTGTTATAACAGTTTGCTTTTTTAAGATGCTGTAAATTCAAGTTATTCAATTGTTACATCTTATGTGCTTAGTATAAATATTAATGTATTTAAAAAAGAACTAACTAGACAACAAATTGTATGATCCCATTTATGTGAAATGTCCAAAATAAGTAAATCCATAGCAAGCATAGCTCGGTGCCTCCAGGGCCTGGGGAGCGGGGGATGCAGAGTGGCTGCTCATTGGGTGCGGAGCTTTCTTTCAGGTGGTGAAATGTTCTGTGACTTAACACAGATGGTGGTCGCACACGTTGTGAATATACTGAATGCCCCTTTAAGGTTATGCACCTTAAAGTTGTTCATTTCCTGTGAATTTCACTGCAGTATCTTTACACGTATTTCTGAATGATGCAGAATCTCTGATTTAGCAGCAGTCCTTGGCATTTATAATTTTCTAAGTTTTAAAATTCCTGCTTCAATATATAAAAGATAACTAATAAGAACCTACTGTATAGCACAGGGAACTCTATTTGGTGCTCTGTAATGATCTATATGGGAATGGAGTCTAGAAGAGAGTGGACATGTGTATGGCTGATTCACTTTGCTGTACGGTAGAAACTAATACAGCATTGTAAACCAACTATACTCCAATAAAAAAATTAATTAAAAAAATTCCTGCTGCATTGTTATCGAAATATTTTAAGCTATTTAAAATCAATTTTAATACCTCACCATAAAATCTGTACGTGATAGTAACCTTTTGGTACTTGAACCTTTGAATGTTAGACTTTTAATAGGGATCACATGGTAGTGGGGGTAAGAAGTTAATAAAAATTCGGTCGTTTTAGAGCAGGTAATACTAGGTGATTTCCCCAGCTTATTTGGGAAGGGGCTGTTCTGTGTCCGAAAGAATTTACACGCTCTTACAGAAAACTCTCGTAAAAAGTGCAGGAGACGTGGTAACAGTTTCCCTACTTACAGTTTCATGTGTTTGCTTCAGGCCCTTTCTCTATGCATTTATTACAAACCTGGGATCACACTGACTGTTGTCTTGTGACATGTGTTTTTCATTTAACATCAAGGTGCCTTTTCATATTTCATTAAATAGTCCTCAGAAAAAACAATTTTTAATGATTGCATCGTGATTATGTAATTTTACCTATTTGTAAACATTTAGGATATTTACAGTTTTTCACTGTTTTAAATAATGTTGACTTTAACGTACTCAGAAATATTTTGCCTCGCTGTCCCACTTTTAAGATAAAGTCACAGCAGTGCAATTACTCTGTTCAGGGTTCCTGATACGTGTGTCCATCTTGTCCTCCAGAAGATCTGTGTCCCCAGCTCACTGAGGGAGTCCCTGTTACCATGTCTTAGCAGACGTGTTACGTGTTTCGTCTTGTACAGTTTTGTAAGTGAAAAGGCTGTTTTGCGTTTCCTTATGATCATGGATGTGTTTTACCTACTTCTGTGAATTTTGTATTCATGTTTCATTTTCTTGGTGGGGGCTACTGTTAACTGCTTTGTAAGACATCTTCCCATATTAAGAATAGTACGTCGTTGTATTTGTTGAAAAAATTGTGTAGATATTCTTAGGATGTGCGTAATTACCTATTTTTCCCTTTTCCCCTCCTTCCATTGTCTTCACGCGTGAGTGCCTCTCTTGTGTGTTGACCAGGTGACTCTGGTGAGCAGCCCTGGGGCTGCGTGTCCTCAGTCCTCACTAAGGTGCAGATCCTCTCTGGTATGTCTCTGTTCTGGCTGAAGGGAGAGCATTCCTCATGTTGTCCTTTGTTAGGCAGGGGCAGGACACACACATTGCTGTCATCATTGTATGCAGTAAATAACTAGTGGTTATTATATGTGCTTGTTTTTTTCTGCTTTTTCATTGGGTCTGATGCGTAGAAAGCAGTGCCCTTTTCTTTGAATGAAATAATTTGTTTGGCGAGGCTTGTGTGCCTCTCTGCCCTGCCTTTCTGCCACCCTATCAGTTGACATCTCAGGGGCATCTGCTTGGAGTCACTGTACAGCTGAACAGAGTAAAGGCATGTTCTTCTGGTTTACTTTGCTTTGTAAACAGTAGCTCCACTGTAACTTCTCAACTAGGTAAAGATGTTGCCCCAAAGTTGGAAGAATTAGGGACCTGTGGAGCTGGGGGCAGAGCGCCGGAAGGTGCTTCCCCAGCCTTAGGAGGCTTGTCTGTGTGCAACGCCAGCGACAGCCCAGTGTCACGAAGGACATGTAGCTCGTGTACCCTGCCCACTCTGGTTATAGGAGAAAGATTTTAGGGAACTTCGTTTAATTCTATTTGGGTGGCTGAGTACAGTGTCATGTGTGCAGTAATAATGGTTAACATTGTTTTCATTTTCATCTCTCTTCTCTTAGTTCATATTTTTACCTTGTCAAGTAGCCACCATTAAATTTTAAAGTCAGGCTCAGAATTTGAACAGTAAAACCTTTGACTTTCAAAAGGTCTACTATCTAGGGAAGACTGCTTTCCTAATTATGAGTCAAATGACAATCGAAACAAGTTTTAAGGACCATAAAAAAATAGTAGAAAATTTCAACGAGAGTGGTTTCAGTGTTTAATTATGACTTTGTATAGATGGCAGTCGGCTGTCATTTTTTTTCCCCCAACATTAAGACCACTTGTGTAATTTCCACAGAATACAGATATCTAGCATAGAAGATTCTTATTAGGTCTTCTTCCTACTGAAAACATCTGTTAAGAAAAAGTCATATTCCTGATTTAGTTTTGCCTAACGTGGGATAATCAGCATTATCTTTTCTGTAAGGGGAACTGGCATTTTCCCTTCGTAGACACCTGATTCATTTTTCTGTGTCTGTGCAACTTACAGGTGTTCTCTGTTGCAGGCAACAATTCTTACCTCTTCAATAACAATTTTAAAAAACAAAAAGTTCTACCTTACACATCAGCACAGAAGTCAAGGGAAGAAATTGAAAATAACGATTTCAGTCCTCGTTTGCATGTTCTGGGCTACAGAATGGCTCAGAACTAGCTGTGTTGGAAATACCCAGAGTAAAACTTTCAGAAATTATGATGGTAATGGTCCTGTTTTCCTCTTCTTTCCTTAAATTTCTTAGGCAATCGCATTCGCACTAACCACCTGAAATCATTATGTATTAATGCTGTTTGGGTTGAAAAACCAGGGGAAAGCTCTCCAGTCTGAGGGAAGCAGTGCATTTCTGTGCCGTCACCTTCATCTCTTTTCTGTATCTTAAGGCAAAACGGTGGCCCTTCCCACCGAACCCTCCATTTTATTTACTGTTTGATTAGTAAAGAAAAGTGCAAAAGTTGGGAGTTTCGAAGGCGTGCACATTATTGAAATTGTGCTAGCTCATCCTTCTCTTAGTTATTTAGATGAAGGTGCTTCCCCCCCGCCCCCGCCCCCAGCCCCGGCACGCGGGCCTCTCACTGTGGTGGCCTCTCTCGTTGCGGAGCACAGGCTCCGGACGCGCAGGCTCAGCGGCCATGGCCCACCGGCCCAGCCGCTCCGCGGCATGTGGGATCCTCCCGGACCGGGACACGAACCCGTGTCCCCTGCATCGGCAGGCGGACTCTAAACCACTGTGCCACCAGGGAAGCCCGAAGGTGCTTTTTAAGGTACCACTTTTATCAAAGATTAAATCTAAGAGTGATGTTGCCTCTCTGCTCCGGTCTGCTCTCCAGATTATCTCCCAAAGACTACAAATTAGATCCGTCATCGGGGCCAAGCCTTTACCTGTTCTGATCCCCACTGTGTGTCTTAATGTGAGTGTGTGTCTGCATCCGTTCATTGATTGTACAGATGAGAAGATGAACTTGTAGCTGGGGTGTAAGTCACCCAGCTGTCTGGCACTATGTGCTGAATAGAGAACGTGGAATCTTTACTCAGAGGCGTGGTCTTGCTTTACTGTGTGTTGACTGAACTTCTTGGCCCCTCGCAGGAGACCCCTGTGCTCGGCAGGATAGAGAAACAGAAGCGCAGGGCGGAGGAGGAGGAGCGCCAGATCCTCCTGGCGGTGCAGAAGAAGGAGCAGGAGCAGCTGCTGAAGGAGGAGAGGAAACGGGAGCTGGAGGAAAGGGTCAAGGCCGTGGAAGGTAGGAGGGCTCTGCCCAGGGCTCCGGCAGCAGGGCTGTCTGGGGGGGGGGGGGGGGGGCGTGTCCCTGGAGCCCTGCCGTCTGGCTGGCTCGGGGCCGGCCCGGCAGTGCCCTCGCCCTTGCCGTCCTGGGGTCCTTCCGTCCCCGCCTTCACTCTCGGCTCCGCTGCATCCCCGTGTGCAGTTGAAAAAAGGTGACTCTCGCAGAAGTAACCTTACACACAGAGGAGATGTACTTAAGAAAAGCCTCGCTCTGCCCCGGTGTGTGCGGGCGTGCGGGGTTTCTAACCTTTGTACTTAAAGCACACATGTTAGATGCAGTGGTGTTTATAAGCTGAACTTGATAAATCACTGGATAGCAGAGCATTTTGGCTTTGTTAAATACAGACCAGTATTTTAAGTAAATGTATTGAACTTTTTATTTTTTATTTATTTTTAAAATTTATTTATTTATATATGTTTGGCTACTTTGGGTCTTCGTTGCTGCGCGCGGGCTTTCTCTAGTTGTGGCGAGCGGGGGCTACTCTTCGTTGCGGTGCACGGGCTTCTCATTGCAGTGGCTTCTCTTGTTGTGGAGCACAGTCTCTGGGTGCGTGGGCTTCAGTAGTTGCGGCATGTGGGCTCAGAAGTTGTGGCACACGGGCTTAGTTGCTCCAAGGCATGTGGGATCTTCCTGGTCCAGGGCTTGCACCCGTGTCCCCTGCATTGGCAGGCGGGTTCTTAACCACTGCGCCACCAGGGAAGTCCTATTGAACTTTTTTAAAGTTTAAATAAAATAGCATAACACGGATTTCGCTTTTTTTGTTTTTCTTTCCCCCAGCCACACTGCATGGCTTGTAGGATCTTAGTTCGCTGACCTGGGATAAAACCTGGGCCCTGGCAGTGGAAGCGCCAAGTCCTAACCACTGGACCACTGGGAAAGTCCCAGATTTGGCTTTTTAATGCAGTGTTAACATGCAAACTTTAAACACATTTTGGCTGTAAAATTTAAAGGATTCTGGCCTTATGTGATTTCCCCTCTCATTCCTAGGGTATTGCCTTCTGATTTTTTCTTTTTTTATAAATTAATTAATTAATTTATTTTTGGCTATGTTGCGTCTTCGTTGCTGCGCGCGGGCTTTCTCTAGTTGAGGTGAACAGGGGCTACTCTTCGTTGCGATGCCTGGGCTTCTCATTTTGGTGGCTTCTCTTGTTGAGGAACATGGGGTCTAGGTGCGTGGGCTTCAGTAGTTGTGGCACGTGGGCTCAGTAGTTGTGGCTCGTGGGCTCTAGAGCGCAGGCTCAGTAGTTGTGGTGCACGGGCTTAGTTGCTCTGCGGCATGTGGGATCTTCCTGGACCAGGGCTCGAACCCGTGTCCCCTGCATTAGCAGGTGGATTCTTAACCACTGCGCCACCAGGGAAGCCCTGCCTTCTGATTCTTAATAGGCTAACCCTATTCTGACCTTGATCATTTCTTCATTCTAGAATGCTTAGTGCATTTAATCTACTAATGTAGCCTGTGCCACATTTGGTGGTATATCATACGTTGAGATTTTGCGTAATTTATTTCCAGTGCTAGATTTAAATTCCTCAAAATAGTAACTATGCTTTTATTTCTTTATATTTTTCAATAGAGTTCTGTAATTTTCAATGGAGTTCTTATTAGGTACCATTGTCATTTGACTTTTTTCTAAGTTGAAGTATGATTGGCATACACCATTCCCTTATTTTCAGGAGTAAACACAATTCGACATTTATGTACATTGCAAAATGGTCACCACAATAAGTTAAGAATTTGATTTCTTGTAATGAGAGTAGCTTTCACATACACAGTACAGTGTTATGGACTGTGGTCACCACAGTGTACATCACATCCCCGGGACTGACTTGTTTTGTCACTGGTAGTTTGCACCTCTTGACACCGTCACCCATTTCGCCCACCCCGGCCCCCCTTCTTTGTGTTCTCTTTATCTGCGAGTTTGGTGTTGTTTTGTTTTGTTTTGGAGGTAGATAACGGTAATGGTTGTACAACACTGTGAATGTACCTAATGCTACTGAATCATATACGTAAAGTGGTTATAAAGGTACATTTTTATATTTCTCACTAAAATTTTTAAAAAGCAAAAAGAAAAGGAAAAGTCCAAATAAATATACTGCTATTTATTAGGATTGTCTTTGTATAAAAAGGATGTTACAAGACTGGAGTCTGACAGATACTCATGCTAAGTGAAATGAGCCCATATGGAAGGGGACATTGAGACTTCCTTGTTCTCAGTGTGGTTGATGCGAAACCTAAAAATTCTTCTTGCCTCAATTATGTGGAGATTCTATTTGTTATTCAGTATAATACTTTGTCTGATATTGTGTAAATACCCTTTTTAAGAACATTTTTGAAATCTTAACCAAGTAAGGAAAATTATCAGAAGCTGCTTTTAGGGGGATTAAAAACAGCAGTAAGTGAAACAGACTGTCAGATCGAATTGTGGGTGTGGAGTGGTCCGTCTAGGGAATCTCTGCCCCGGGAAGGATGACCATGGATAAACCTGTGCTGAAGAGGAATAGACATGAGGAGGCACCACTGTGAGCAGCGGTTAGTAGGTGGCAGCAGACAAAATAGAAAAATATTTAGCATTATCAGGTATAAAAAAGAAGAAATTGGAAACATCAGGAAGAAATAACCTTGAGGAAAGTACAGGCAGATTCAAAGGAAACAAATATTGAAGGAACTTCTAGAAATGTAAATATGGTAATTGGAATAATAACTTGATAACTGGGCTCTAAAGCTTAGTTAGACCTGAGGAGAGAACCACACTGGAAGAGCTGCGTGGGGCTTGTGCAGAATGCATCACGGAGATAAAGGGGACGTGGCGGGAGAAGTCGCCTCTGGTCCATCGTTTAGTGTGCGGTCACAGAGATGCCTCAGTGGAGAACTTCACGTGGGTCTTTGTTTTAATGCAAGTTAGAGAAATACAAAAGCTGAAAGGGTGTGAGGCAGGGGGAATAAAGAGAAGGGTTGGGGTCATCAGACCCGCAGGTGAGGAGGGGCTCGCAAGCTGGATGTTAGTCTCAGGGCAGGCGCCAGCCCGGTTCTGGAACTGCCAGCTGTGCCTTCCCAGTGATGGACGTCTTCCTAAGGAGGGACAAGCTGGTGGGCTGTTTAAGAGCACCCAGTGGGGGAGAAATCCATCCCCCCCCCCCCCACTCCCCGCCGTCTCCTGTCCCCTCTAGTGCTCCCTGTGGCGGAATATTAAGCCGGCAGAGAGTGGGGAAACTGCTTGATAATGGACTCACGGGCCCCAGACCAGAGCTGCAGGGGGTGTCTGTCCACTGTTGTAAAATGGAAGGATCAAGTGATGGGGCAGAGGAAATATTAGATATGAATGGTTGAGAGATGAGATACAAACTGGATAGAATACAGACCCAAGGGACCGAATCATGGAACACATGGCCCATTTCCAGTCGGGAAAAGAGAATGTTCTGTAACAGAGACAGCAGACTTCTCAGGAGCAGCAGTAGGGTTCAGGAGGAAATGGGATTGGATTTTGTGTTAGTTTCCTAGGGCTTCCATAACAAATTACCACAACTAGGTGGTTTAAAACAGCAGAAAGTAAGTGTCTCACAGCTCTAGCGGCTGGAAGTCTGAAATCTGGGTGTTGGTGAGGCTCTGGGGTCATACTCTCCTGTGCTGCTTCTAGCTTCTGGTGGTTCCTGTGTTCCTTCTTTTCTGGTTTCCTCTGGGAACTTCCTTAAACCAATATCTATTTTCTTAAATGTAAGCAAACATTCTACTTAATATGGAAACATCAGAAGGGTTCCCTTTTTGTTTTTTTTTTTTTTTTAATTTTATTTATTTTATACAGCAGATTCTTCACCCCCAGGGCACAGCAAAAGACTATAGACCAGGAGCTCGGTCTTTCTGGTGGAGACTTATTAGCTGATCACCATGGCTGCGGCCTGAGGGGTAGGTTTGTAATTAAGCCTGCATCTAGGGGCCCCCGAATCCTTTCCAGAGATGTCAGAGGGCGGGCCCTCCAGAGCCCAAATTTCTTGGAGGGAGGCTTTACGTGCATCTGACACCCATGGTTCACACCTTGAACACCTGGCTCTGGTGGCCAGAGGGGCTTGTATTCCTGGGTCCCACAGGACCGTGGTGAGCGGAGGGCCAGTTTGGGACAGGCTGGCACACTCCATGCTGTCACGTGATGGAGGCCACCCTGCTTGTCCTGGAGCGTCAGCCTGAGGGACAGGCTTAGGTTGGGTGTGCAGAGCTGCTCTCATAGGTTGGAGGCTGTGAGTGCCTGCTGTCTCCCACTTGCCCTGAGGTGGGCCCCCGGAAGAGAGTTTATACACTTGTCTGTGACTGCCACTCAGGGGTCACTGCAGGTCCCTGACTGGTGGCCAGTGGGACTCAGGCTTGCAGTTGCTCACAGCCCTGTATGTTTGTGAACTTTAGAGGAAAGTGTCCAGTCAGTCTGAATCTGGGTTCTGAGACCCTCCCCTTTGGGACACTGACAGGTCTTGGCACACCCTCAACTGCTGGGAGCCACTGAAATACATCAGGCTGCCTGGACAAGCACAGCGATTTGAGAGACGACCAAGAGCTGGGAAGAGCTAAACAAAAAGGCTCATCTCCCACATGAGGCCCCGCCTTCAAGACTGGGAGAGGCGGTTGTTTCCTTTTCTGCACAGAAGTCAACAGAGTCCAGCAAAATGAAGAAACAGAGGGGGCTTCCCTGGTGGCACAGTGGTTGAGAGTCCGCCTGCCGATGCAGGGGACGCGGGTTCGTGCCCCGGTCCGGGAAGATCCCACATGCCGCGAAGCGGCTGGGCCCGTGAGCCATGGCCACTGGGCCTGCGCGTCCGGAGCCTGTGCTCCGCAACGGGAGAGGCCACAGCAGTGAGAGGCCCGCGTACCGCAAAAAGAAACAGAGGAATATGTTCCAAATGAAAGAACAGATTACAACCTCAGAAAAAAGCCTTAATGAGACAGAACTAATTTACTTGATAAAGAGCTAAAGTAA